GCTCATTATCAAAGGAACCGCGAAACGAAGTTAATATCGACATTTGCCAAATGGTGACCGCAGACTATACGCGTTACCTAGTGTTGGAAATTATATGTTCAACTTTATTCTGAGCAGTGATTCCTAAATTATATTCGTTATTCGTATTGCCAGTGACTGTTTCTTCCAGAAATAGTTTGATTTTCACTAGTAATAAATAAGCTGCATCTGCAAATGATCTCGCATTTAAACATCACAAGATACCAGGATGCCCTTATGGAAATGGTGAAGTGAAGTGGAGAGATTCATATTAAATTTAGATCAATGAGAACACTTAACAAAACTCACCATCTATAATTAGGGCAATATAACTAGTCAACATGACAGAGAGCAGATTGCCAGCATGAAAAGTGAATCTGACGGCCACGGAAAAACTTAATAATGAAAGTAGATCGAGAACGACGTATTGCCTTACATCATACTACCTGTCCAGTTACATAATCAAAGGGATCTATGATCAAAACATCAAAGGCAGTCACTTTGTAACATACGTATCATCGAGCTTTAAAAACACTACCTAAGTGAATAAGGTGCAAATGTTTGAATTAGTTATTATTATATATATTCGATAAATCTGCACCCAACTTACTCTGCATCGTCTTGCAAGAAAAGAATTCAAACCATCACCCTTGAAGGTGAAAAATGATGTTAGCCAATTAGAAACGCACATTGCGAGTTGAGTTTATTTGACAGTTTATTATTAAATAATGTAACAACAGTTTGCATGCGTATCATTTGGTATGTATCAATAATTAATTTACAGCAGGACGCATGTGCATCATTGGAAATCATTCTTAATACACTAGCTGCACCATTGACATATTATTACATTATTCTGAATATACTGACGTCAAATTATTAAGTAATTTATAATTAATGTACTCTAGTTCAAATCTGCACCATTGACTTCTGATTGCTATTTCAATGCCGAGTTTAAATATCATAGGCATGCAGTCGAATTGTATATCATATGTATTGAATTTGTTTGCTGCAATTTCATTTTATGTAGTTTTAGATTAATAAATAACAAAATACTACTATGTATTTAGATAAGATAGAATGTAATATTCAAGAAATACATGCCACGGGATATATATTTAGTTCTCGTTCGTCATACTACATCAGAGTCATATAAAAAACAGTGACATTTCCCATTCTCGCATGAATCACGGATGTCATCACTGTATATTAATAGTATCACCATAATGATGTCTGAGTTTTATATCTCAAAGTTTCATATTTAATCTTTTGTACTCAGTGACAAATTTACTAACTCTCAGACCGTAACATATATTCCATAAAATAAAACTAGTTTCGAAAATACGTTTACATGAACCTAATATTAATTAAGTCGGTTATATATTACATCAATATATCATTAATCAAAATTATCATTATTTCAGCTGAAGGTAACTGTGATTCCGATCCGTGTCTGAACGGCGCTACGTGTACTGATGCCGGTGTGAACTCTTTCACATGTCAGTGCCTGCCAGGCTTCACTGGAACAGTTTGTGAAAACGGTAAATATAATTTCATTGTTCAGTTAAGATTTTAGAAGTGGATTTATGTTTCACTGGATTTATTTGTGATTTTTCTATGACTATTATAACTGTTAAATAATAACATACTTAGTGTAGGTCAGCAACAATGCATTTGTTGCAATCGACTCGTTGTTATCTTTGTTTGATCGATAATTGTGTTGGTGTAACGTTATTTGCATTTTGTATATTTAAATATTAACAAATACGTTTTTGGTACAAAATCGACACATTTTAAGCTGTGACATATTGACTGAAAATTTGTTTCTGACAATGTCGTGCATTGTTAGGTTTAGAATTGACAAGTCTGCTCAACGTTACATCAGTGCAGTGTATATCGACTATCTATTTGATCTTGTTTCTCAGATATCAACGAATGCCTATCCATTCCCTGTTTAAATGGAGGTACATGCATCGACGCAGTGAATGCGTATACGTGTGTCTGTCAGTCAGGATATAATGGTTTACTGTGTGAAAATGGTAAGTTTAATAAATCGTGTACAATTTAGTATTATCGACTCAATGACACTGCATATTCAGGAATGAACTATTGGTTAGCCGTTCTAATATACTAACAATTCTTCAGCTTTACACATGTGTTTGAAATTGTTACAGAAGTTAACGCCTGTGAACCGTACCCCTGTTCTGCAAATTCTATTTATTGTCAAATTGTGGATGGTGGTTTTCTTTGTGCGTGTGAGTCGGGATATACAGGGACGTACTGCGAGCTAGGTAACCAGTATACATTTCACGATTGGG